TTTAATTCCTCCAGCTTTTCTGAATGAAGTTCTATGATGCTAAAGAATCAAGCTGATGACATGGCATCCTTTTTAACGACACAGTTCAGAAAGGGTGAGAAATGATGACCAGCCACAGTCTTGATTGATTCCTTCCTGAATGCTGACCTGAGTTGTGCAAAACCCCTTGATGTTAGGATAGCTCATTGTCTCCATGTCCTTCAGCTGTTTAAAGAACAGTTCCCTGGCACTAGACGGCTGCTTAAAATCCATGTTGCGTAACTTGGAAGGCTCAGGTTTTAGATAACAGCCTCCCAGTGTGAGTCTGATACAATGCCACTCGAAGGCACACCGTTTTACTGCGTGAGAGTATAAAATCGGGCCACAAGTGTGCACTTAGAGATAAAGAACCAACGCAAAGCAAGAGAACCATGAAAAGACAGAGGGAAAGTATGTGAAAGTGAGGGGGGCACCTGACCAAGAAGGAGAAGGTGAGGAAGTAGCAGAGAAGTAGCGCTGGTGGTTAGAAAACAATTGAGCGTAACAGCATATTTGGCATCTTAATACCCACCCACCCCAGGCGCCTGCCCCAGCCCCCACATTTGCAGCTGGTCAGCAATGCCTCAGCTAGATGGGTGTCTACTTTCTCCTAAAGACACAGTTGCCCAGCAGATAAACATTCAAATTTGCATACAGCCCTGGCCGGTTTGGCTCAGTGGTTAGAGTGTCACCTCCCTGACTAAAGGGTCTTGGGTTCGATTCCAGACAAGGGCACATACTTTGGTTGCAGGCTTGATCCCCAGCCCTGGTCGGGGCACATGGGGGAGGCAACCAATCGATATGTCTCTCTTGCATCAATGTTTCTCTCTGCCTCTACACCAGTGGTTCTCAACCTTGGCTGCACATGAGAATTGCCTGGGAATCTTTTTAAAATCCTGATTTCTGGGCCGCATCCTCCGGAAATTCTGTTTCTTTATTGTGGGGTGGGGCCACAACATTAGTAACAAAGAAACAGAATTTCTGGAGGATGAGGCCCAGAAATCAGGATTTTAAAAAGATTCCCAGGTGATTCTAATGTGCAGCCAAGGTTGAGAACCACTGCTCTATACCTTCCTTCCTCTCTCTCTAAAAATCAATGAAAAGAATATCCTCAGGTGAGGATTAACAACAACAAAACTTCGAATATCGTGGAAAAGAGTGGCTCAAAAGCCACTTAATGCTGCTTTTCTATACAGTGGGGCCTTGACTTACGAGTTTAATTCGTTCTGTGACAGAGCTCGTAACTCAAATTACTCGTATGTCAAATCAAAAAGTGAACGAGTGAGACATGTGATGCTGGGCTGATGTTGTGGCGTTCACTGTGATGTTCGCTGCGCCAACTAGCGGTGGGGTATCTAAATTTTAGCTCGCAACTCAAAGCAAAAAATCGGCCGAGAGACGGCTTGTATCTCGAAAAACTCGTTAGTCGGGACACTCGTAAGTCAAGGCCCCACTGTACTTTCTGAAAATAGTGAACAGTCTTAATTCTCCCCAATCTGAAATATCAAATGAAATAAAAACCAATCATCTATTTCCTATTTTAACATTTGTTTCCGGGGAATAAAATTCCTATTAGAAAAATACTACAGATTTATTAAAGATCATTCTGAGGTTAGTTTATAGAAGACCAATTTTAAACTCATTATTAGTTACCTTTCAATCAGCAGCTCCATGTCTTCAGTCAATAGTTTTTATGCAAACAATTTAGATAATAATTAATATAAGAAAAAAACACAGGATGTGACGCTGTGTAAGTGACAGAACAACCAGACTGCTGGGGGTTGTGACAGAGAACTTGACCACATGAGTCCATGTGAGCCCGCTCAGCGGTCTTCACCGGCTCGAGGGCTCGTTACCTCTGCATACACTGTGGGGCTCACACGGATCTATATTCTATGGGGAAATATACGAACCGATGCTCACTCTACAATATAACTAGTAGGACATTTACATAATAGAGTACTATGCAGCTGTAAAAAAGAGGGACCTCTTTCCCTTTGGGACAGCATGGATGACCTGGAGACTATCATGCTAAGTGAAATAAGCCAATCTGAGAAAGACAAATATCACATGATCTCACTTATTTGTAGAATCTAATAAATAAAATGAATTGACCAACAAAATAAGACCCGAAGCATGGAGGCATGGAACAGACTGACATACCTTGATGTGGGGTTGGGGGGATGAGAAGAGATAAACCAAAGAACTTATCTATATATATAAAAGCCTAATATGCAAATTGACTGAACAGCTGGTGGAACAACCGGTCGCTATGACGTGCACTGACCACCAAGGGGCAGACGCTCAATGCGGGAGCCGCCCCAGCCTGCAGGTCCAGGCCAGCCAAGGTGAGTGCAGCGGGGGCCCCCCTATCGCCCCACCGGTCACCCCACAGATCAGCCCTGATCGCCGGCCAGGCCTAGGGACCCTACCCGTGCACAAATTTCGTGCACCGGGCCTCTTGTATACTTGTATGCATAGCCCATGGACACGGGCAATATGGTGGTGAAGACCTGGGGGTGTGATAGGGGCTAGAAGGAGGGGATTAAGGGGGGAAATGGAAGATATCTGTAATACTATCAACAATAAAAATATGTTTAAAAAATAAAAATAAAACATAAATAGAAAATAATGCCACTGCTATCCTTAACACGAATTTTCTGGATGGCCTCTGTAGACACCAGGAGCTCCAAACCAGTTGTTGAAAAATGTCGTTTTCCTGACTTTACAACTTTAATGACCTTGGCAACCAGAATTTACTACATTCACATCCACTCTGACTTAACACAAAAAATTCTCTGCTCCCAAATGCCCCTCCCAGTGCACCCTCCCGCCACGCGTGGCTGGTCTGTCTGCCTTGCTTTTTCCACTTTCCCTTTCACATCTCGTAACATAGAGGTTGAAATCTGCTATGTCAGTTTTTCTACTCACACTCACTTTTCGGTCCACTCTGATATGGTTTCTGCACTGAATCTTCTACTAAAAATATTTTTGTAAATGTAACCAGTGATGTCCATTCATTAAGCCCAACGATAGTCAATATTTTAGACTGGGGGCCAATAGGTCATGGTCTCTGACTCAGCTGCTCCACCCTGACGTTGTCGTGTGGAAACAGCCACAGGCATGCAAGTGACGAGCATGTGTAGGTTCCTGAGCCACACAAGGAGGCTGTGGCTGGGGCACAGTTTGCCCATCCTGCTATCAAAGGCTAGTGATCCCTACCCTGTTGCGGACAGATTCATTTCAGCTGTTATTTTCTCACTGAAACTTTTCCTGGTCAAGACAAATCTCCTTCTAAAATGTGCTTGCACCACAAAGTACATTTCTCTCTCATAGAACTGATTCTTACTGCAATTGATTAGATATTTATAAAATTATTCTTCAACATTCATCTGCCCTGTAAGGCTGGAAGCTCTTCCAGTTTCCCGATTAGACTGGGAACGGTATTTACTTTGCTGTTATGTTCCCAGCAGGTGGTGTAGAACATGACACATAATAGCAATCAATAAATATTTGTCGAGTGAATGACTGATGAATTTGCTATCTGGCCCTCAGCTGGCAACCTGATATTTCTGAGCCTGCCTTCTCCATCTGCAAACAGCAGTGATACCAACAGCTACGTTCCAGCTTTGCTTCATGGTAAGACAATACATGTGAGTGCAGTTGGGGAACTTGAAGGCAATGTACAAATGTAATGGTTGGCCCTCTCGCTGGGAATGGTTTTTGTTGATATAAAGGTTCTAAAACCCAAGTCAAAATCAAAACGAAGACAACTGTGTGGAGAGCCTGCCTTCTCCATCTGCAAACAGCAGTGATACCAACAGCTACGTTCCAGCTTTGCTTCATGGTAAGATAATACATGTGAGTGCAGTTGGGGAACTTGAAGGCAATATACAAATGTAATGGTTGGCCGTCTAGCTGAGAATGGTTTTTGTTGATATAAAGGTTGTAAGATCCAAGTCAAAATCAAAACGAAAACAACTGTGTGGACAGAGACCACGTGTGGCTCCCAAGCCCCAAAATATTTTACTCTCTGGTCCTTGCAGAAACACCCCCCACCCCCACCCCCCCGGAAGGCTGACTGCTGTTGTCACATGTGCAGTGTGGATGCCAGCACCCATGGAGGCCTGTTCACTGTATGGTGCAAAACACTGGAATTCATCCTTACACAGAAATTATAGATGATACATCTACAGGAAGTAAGGGGCTGTGTTTGTTACGGAAATACTGCACAGAAAAGGACAGGAGTTTGGAGTCAAAAGATGAAGATCAAGTTGGAACTCTACACTTAATCGGCCGCCTTGAGCAAATTCATCAGTCTCTCTGAGCTTGCGCTTCTTCATCTGGAAAAAGAGTCGATGTCATGATGCTGTCGAGTAGATGGCTAGTATGAGCCACGTGCTGTCTATACATTACATTTGATCTTTATGTTCAACTGCAAAGTGGGTTTTATTAGCCCCAATACAGATGAAGAAACCAATGCTCAGAGAGGGTAAGCAACCTGCTCACAGTAACACCACACCCCTGAACCAGAGGGTTTGAAGTCCAGTCCTGACTCTAGCAACACTCTCAGTACCACCTCTGCTTAGATATTGGACCTTCTTAGGCCTGCTACATGATTCATCTTACAAAAAGCCTACAGAACCTAATTTCTGGAGGAGAACTTTTGAAATTCCTCCATATCACATTACCAAAATACACTTTAAAGGTGACGGTTTTCCTACAGTGTTCTGTATTACATCTACTCCTATGTCTTTAGAGAACAGTTAAGAGGAGGTGTGCTCTCGTCTTAACTGTTCTCTGTGTATTATAAGAATAGCCTAAGCGGAGAAAGCATAAATACATAAAAGTATGGGGTTTGGAGCACGTCCCTTAAGTAGCCAAGTAATCATGGATTCTATTTATTGCACAGCAATTCCTAGTCTGTTTACGAACCAAACAGGTTTATAGGGCACGTCAGGTGACTGTTAAAGCTTTCTTACCTTTGCTTCATGATCTCATGGAGTCTCCCGTGTTGGACGCACTGCTCCTCCAACTCATCGTTTCTTTCCTGTAACTTTTTCAGTTTGCCGTATGCATACCTCTTCTCCTGACTGAGCTGAGCTATGGCAGATCTAGAGAAGTGAGAGCACAAAAATAAGAAATGTTGGAGGTTCTTACTGCTAGAGCTTGTTTTGATTGCATAACCTTCACATTGTCTGAAACTCCATATTTAAACATAACAGTGAAAATAAAAAAGTTATGTAAAGTAACATATATCAGAAATTGTAAACTGTCTGGAAGAGGGATCTATATGGCAGAGCCTCGAGCGGCAGACAGATAAAGGAGTAACAACTTACTCTAACAGAGATGGCTTCTCCAACCAGACGACAATGATAATGATCAAATCCCTTTTTTAAAAGGCCATCATTCATTTATCGAATAGTTACTGAGTTGTCTATTTTAGGCCAGCAGCAGGCTGTTAATGGAGCAACCCCACATATAATTTCTATAATAGAGAGTAGTTTCTTTTAAGTACCACAGCTCATTTAATGGCACACGATTAAAATCATATAGTTTCAAAAGGCATAATATTGACAACTGGCAGTCCTCTGCCCCTGGACCCCCTACCCAGCTGAGCAGTGACAAATACTTTAAAAAATTTTAAAGCTATTTCTTCTGGTATTTATCTTTGTATTTCTTAATTTGCTTACATCAATACCTCCTATTTCATCAATTAAAAATTTATACTGATCCATTATGGTAGAGGAAGATAAAACTCTTTTTATATGCCCTCTACTCCCATCTCCAACTTGTCAATGTCATTATTAGCATTTTAACTTGTGGTTAAATCGTTATCAGTATTTATGTTATAAAGACTACCTACGTATTGATCCTTGCTGTCTAAGTGGTATATCATGATTACACTAGAGGCCCAGCGCACGAAATTGCACAAGACCCAGAGTCCCTCCTGCCACGGCCGCGGGACCCAGGTCCTGCCCACTGCCGCCTCAGGACACAGAGTCCCTCCTGCCGCCGCCATGGGACCCATCAATGCACCTCCTGGTGACCGGTCGTTTGGTCGTTCTGGCGTTATGGCCACTGGCCTTTTATATATTAGATGATTGATCCTTGCTGTCTAAGTGGTATATTATGATTATACTAGAGGCCCAGCGCACGAAATCGTGTGAGACCCAGAGTCCCTCCTGCCACGGCCGCGGGACCCATCAATGCACCTCCTGGTGACCGGTCGTTTGGTCGTTCCGGCGTTCCGGCCACTGGCCTTTTATATATTAGATTTGCATTTGTGTACATTTATTTTGTCCAAACAAATGGGCTTCAGTGTAAGAGCAACTGAGCGGCAAGCTCTCTCTTCCTGTGGGAGATTCCCAATAGCAGTATCTGTACTCCTTCCCGCTGTGGCCTTTCTGTTTCTCAAGAGAAGGTGCCTCCAGTTTCCTGCCTCCTGTGTACAACCCGACTGTCAGTGGCCAAGGAGCTGGGCGGAAATAGAGGGCGGGGATCTCACCTTTCTGAATGCAGGCTTTCTCCTAGTCCCTCCATTCTAACGTCAGCGCCCCTATTTTACCCAGAGCCTGCTGGTTGACTCTCTTCAGAGACGATGCCTCTAGTTCTCCAGGTGGAAGAGGAACAGTCACCTGGCTTCATGGTGGGGGTGAAACTGTCCATTTTGGTTTCAGTCTTTGTACCACGCCTGCCTTCCAAGGTTGTCTGGAATCCCGAGAGCAGGCAGCATGCTTCAGGAGACACTTAAGATCACCTTCCTCTACTTTGCTACGTCAGGAACCACACCCCCAACCCCCTTTCTGTCTTCACGCATTTCATTTGGGACTGTGGATACCTACTCCGGTGATGGCTGATGTCCCTCAGGAAATACGTTCCCTATTCAGTGTCTTCGATGACTAGCTCAAATCTCAAAATTCGAAGATCAGAAAGATGTCTGTCCAAGAAAAATCGTATCCTTGTCCTCCTTTTAATTTAACATGGCTCCCACGACCACCATCTGTTGCTGGTTAGAACAGAGAGTTTAAAACTCTTGCATATTAAATTATGAGTTAATGACTGGCTTGTTTCTTGAAGTTGAAGTAAGACTTGAGGTAAAATTATTTCCCTCCAAAGAAAGGATTCCTCCGTTAGGGAGAAAGCCTGCTCTTGCTGGTGAAGAAAAGCTTTAACGTTGCTAAAGGAATTCATCCCAAGGACCCGGCCGCTTCCCAGGGGCGAAGCCATCTCTCACCTTTTGTTCACCTCCGACCTCAATTTGTTTTCATCTTGGTTCACCTGTCACATCGAAGGCAACTTGCCCTGATTAATACCTAGCGGTTCTCAATATGTCAGCACGTTTTCTGAAGCTACCTCTCGCCTTTATGCATGCATTAGCCTATAATTTATTCCTCAAGGCTGTGCTCTAGGCCTCATCTTCCTTACTAGATTATACATGAGGGCATGGATTACCTCATTTTCAGGCTCAGATCAAACACTCAACCTCCATTTGCTTCTCCTAATAAGAATTTACCACATAGATTTTATAATATAGAAATATAAAACTTTTTCACAAGAAATCATAATGTTCCTGGCAGCATTGCTTCATGGAGCAACCTTGCTCTGCAATGCAACATCTGGAAACTGAACCCAGAAATTTGTCAACAGAAGACCGATTACATTACTTACACAAAGGCATATCAAGATGCTATTCTGATAATGTGGCTATCTACTGGTGTTATTTATTGACCTGAAAATATGACGTTGAGCCCTGGCGGGTGGGACTCAGTTGGTTGAGCGTCCTCCCATGCACCGAGAGGTCACAGGGTTGCCTCCCAGTCAGGGCACATGCCCAGGGTTGCAGGCTTAATCTCCAGTGCTGGGTGTATAGGAGGCAGCCAATCAATGTTTCTCTCTCTCCCTCTCCCTTCTATGTCTCTCAAAAATCAATAAAACCATATTAAAAATATGATGCTGATAAGGCAGGAATTCTACTTTATAATTAAAAAATACTTTGACGTGTGTACCACATATTAATATGGATTATCTCTAACTCTTAGTGTCAGGATTGGGAATTACATTTTGTTTCTTTCCCCAGATTTTTTGAATTTTTACAATGGACATGTATTTAAAACAAAAAAATAAAGTCACTTTGGTTTTTTTAAAAATTCATAAGAGCAAAAAGAACCGAGAACAAGTTTTTGAAAATTTTAAAAAGGAACTGGAAACACACAAAATGAAACAAAGGAAGATTAGAGATGTTATTTAATAAAGTGCTATCCCCACGCTCCATCATATCCCAATTTGATAAAAAATACAAGTGACTTGAAAAATAGTCACAGAAGAAGAAACAAATGGCCAATAGACATTTATAAAGTATTCAATTTTGCTATTATTCAGAGAAATTCATAATAAAACCAGATTATAGTCAAATATTGATTGCATGCCTACTCTATGCCAGATAGGGAAATCCATCCTTTATATTAATGGTCTCGATTAATCCTACAATGTAAGTGTTTATTTCCTCTTCTTGGAGAGTAAACATGAGCTTAATGATTTGCCTAAAGTCACTCCGATGGCGATTAGCCAGGCTCAGGCACAAACACAGGTCTCTCTACAGGGGTTGCTCTACCCACTGTGCAAAATTGCCTCTCACTTTTTTTTAATTTAGTCTCTCACTTCTCCCACTGATATGTGTGCATCTATACCAGGAGCAGAATTTATTTAGAACTTGAACACAGTTACACACATTAATAGTCTTATGGGGGTTCATCGTCTTTGGACCAAAACCATCCCCATTTAGGCATCTCCACTAACGGAATCATCAAAAATTCAGATTTATGTACAAAATTATCATTCTATTATTCATAACAGTTAAAAACTGGAAACATCTTAAATGTCTTGTGCATACAAATGATTCAATTAAAATTATATTTCCAAAGCATTTAGTGATCTAGAAAAATGATCATGAGGCAATATTAAGTGAAAAAGCAGAATACAAAACTATATTTATAGTATAAGCTCATTCTCAATATAAATGTAGACTACACACACATTTACATGCACATAGAAAATTAACAATAGTTAGCTGGATGGTAATGTCCCAGAAAATGTTTTCTTTAATTCATCTTTGTATCTGTATCTAAATGCCCTATATTGAGAATGCCTTATTCCTAGAGTCACAAAAATATAAATGTCACTAGTAACGTTCATATGACTATCAGGTATTTTATTGCTACAATATTTTTTTCTGCTTTGCATATTTTTGGGGCTTTTTTCCTTTATTTATAATGATAATTTGCCTACCAACTTCCAATGTTCAAAAAGAATTTGATAAATATACATGGACACGATCTTTTATCTGCCTTGAGCCAGTGGTATATTGAATGAAAGAATAGTTTGCAAAGTTGAAAGAGTAAACTTACAAGTTTCTGGGTTAGTCTGAGATTACATCTGTGGAGGACGATTCTAGTGTCATACAAAAGGATAATTGACTTTAACCCATTTTCATAGAAAATGTAGGTAAATTCTGGCTTTACAGAAGCATGAACTTTCCCCTGCGTTTTTATATACCAGCAATAGTGTGTAATTGCACTGGCATGAAATATAATATTTTACTATCATTAGGATTACAGCGATAATTGCTTTTTAAGAGAAAACATGACCCCTAATTTTTTATTCTTCTAGATTCTCACTTGACTTTTGGTAACGATTAGCAGAGTCTGACACCAGTCTCCTCTTACAGAATATAATTTTTGTAGCATCTAAACATGCAGAAAAAAACTAGTTCAGCCGGGTGTGTGTTCTTTACTTCAATTAAACTCACACAGTTGGACACCTACTGTTGCCAAAACAGTAATATAATTTATACATTATAGTCCACACAGTAAAACTACACTAAAAGTCATTTAACAATATTTATAACACCATAAAGTACAGTGTTAAAATATATGAACTGCAATATGTACCAAAATTATAAAATTTGTTTCTCATCATCAGTGATTAAAACCGGGCTCATTGCTCTAGCCTCAATACCCACAACCCTGGTGACAGATTAGAATTCAAATCTTAATGATCAATTTACAATTAACAAGATAGAAGTGAAACAAATTAAACCAACCATTATATATAA